CCTATGGACCAGAAAATCATAGCGAATTTTAAGAAACTGTATGAAAGGGCACTTTTCCGGAAATGTTTTGAAGTGACTGAAGCCACAAACCTCACCCTCAAAGAGTTCTGGAGAGAGCATTTTAACATTTTTAGTGCTTTAAAACTCGTTGACAAAGCCTGGCAAGAAGTGACTCAAAGAACCCTGATCTCTGGCTGGAGAAAATTGTGGCCTGAAGGTGTGAGAGAACTAGACTTTGAGGGGTTTGAGCCTATAAATGATGCGCCTATTGTTGAGGAAATTGTTAGTCTAGGCCAGAAAATGGGCTTGGAATTGGATGGTGATGATGTGGAGGAGTTGGTGGAAGAACACAACGAAGAACTGACCACCGAAGAACTCCTAGCCCTTCAACAGGAACAGCAAGCCAACACAGCAGCGAATGATTCTGCATTGGAGGAGGAGGTGGTGGCAACAGCACCAGCGAATGTCCCTTCTGCAGTAATGAAGAAGGTGTGTCAGATGTGGGAAGAGATTCAAACAACTATTGAACACACTCACCCAGACAAAACTGTAGTAGGCCGTTGTCTTAATCTTTTCAATGACAATGTGATGCCTTACTACAGAGAGAGCTTGCGAAGAAGGGAAAAGCAAGCTTTCATGGACAAATATTTGGTGAAGAAATCGAGCAGTGAACCTCAACCAGGACCTAGTGGCACTCAGGTTAAACGTCCCAGGGAGAGCACACCAGAAAGGTCCTCACTGCCTGATGTGATTATGGAAGGGGACTCCCCTTCCAAACACTAACTCCTCTCCTCCTCCCCCCTCCTCACCATCTTCCATACGCCTACAGCACTCGACAGTAAGGTAAGTAATAACTGGAACATACTTTTGTAGGTTTATTTAGATGAATTAGGTAAATTAGGTATAAAAATTTAGTTTGATGTGGGGTTTTTGGGGTAGTCAGGAACGGATTAATTCATTTCCCTTTATTTCTTATGGGGAAATTAACTTCGGAATGCGAGTTTTCGGAAGGCGAGGCGTCTCCAGGAACGGATTAAACTCGCATTCTGAGGTATGCCTGTACAATGTATTCCATGAGTGGTTCATCATAGAATGCTGTAAAATATTCCATCTCAGCCATGTCCTCACCTTGATTAGGGAAAAGGTTTGTAATCCCTACATCTTTATCGTCAAAGTGAGGAATATTAGGAATAAAATCGTCACCATCACTCCACTCAAGTATACCAGGCGTCCTGCGAGATGCAGAGGAAAGACGGCGAGGAAGCGATGCATACCGGCGACCAGGAGCTGAATACCGTCTGCGAGAAGCACGGCGGCTACGTGCACGTGAACACGAGGGTCTTGGTCCCTCATGTGGTGCCATGCGGTGGCGCTTGGCCGGGCGAGATGCTGCTGACGCGACAATTTCTCGCCCAGTTACACCACTGGTACCAGCCACAGGCTCAATAAAACTTTGATCTGAGTCACTAAACCCAGAAAAGGAGTCACCTCCCTCTGACTCGTCACCCTCAAACAGAAAATATCCACAGGAACTGTGAGGTCGTGGTAGAATTGGGGTAGAAACTGGGCGAGGAGGCATCGGTGAGCGTATAGGCCTCGCCATGGCATGGCGGTCATTCTCACTTTCACTGCTGCTGCTACTATCACCCGACAACTGTGTATAATCCTCATCGTTGTCTGAATCGTCAAACACACTCTCTTCACCTTCAGAGAATAATTCGTGGGCTATTTGCTCTGGGGTGAGGGACTGAGTGGTGCGTGCCCGTGAGGCGTTTGACCGTGCGCTCGCCATGGTGACTCTCGCTAAACTGAGGCCTCCCATGCCTTCGGATCGTGAGCGGGATTTTTTTTCAAAATGGCCGCTGTTTACTAGAGCCCCTGGGCAGCGTATGGGACCCCCAGCTACACCGCGGGCCATTCAAATCGTGCGCGGTACCCATACACTTCATATGAAGTGAAGCGCAGTTGACTGGTAAAACGATTTACACTTCATATGAAGTGATGCGCACTTTAAGGGTTAAACAAACGATCACCCTCGAGCCATACTCAGAACTCATGAGGTTCGAGCTGGCTCCTCCCTTCTTTCGGGGAGGGTGCCTACAAGGTGTATTTAACTACAGTATTATCATTAAGGCCGAGACAGATCACTGATATAATATGTAATCGTAAAATAATTAGATATACTGTAGTATTGAAAGATGATAAGCAGTATGGAAGAGTGCCAACAGTTCTATAAAGGACTGGAGGTGAACCTCACCGGAAATCGACAGATGTTCCAATAATTTTTTAATTGTCGAAGTTCTTCTCAAACCTTCGACATCCTTTACAATCAAGCACAAAATCACAGAGGCTCATATGGGCCCATTGGCATACGACACCCAAACCAACTCGTATGTAGAAGGGAGGGGGGGGGGGAAGGAAAAACCCCACTCCATGTAACAGTAAGCACCACTCAGAGGGTAGAAAAACCCAGGAGCGGGTCTAATGGGGCCCAAGGCTCCCAAGTCAGGCCCACCCCCCAGCCGTTCCAGAACCACGCTGGGAACTTCCACACCAGGACCCGGGGCCGAACCGTCCTCCAAAGCCCCGGCCTCAAAAGAAAAAGCCGGGGCAGCCATAAAAACATTAAGGAAGGGGGGCTCACTGGTCAGACCCATATGCAACGGCTGGAGGAACCAACTCGAATGCCTCTATCTCCACCCTGGAAGGGGCAACCCCCAAAACTGCCCGAGTTTCAGAATCCTCTAAACCCCCGCCCCAACCCCGAAGCCTTCAAACACTTCGAGGCCAGAAGCAAGTGGAAGGGGGGGGGGGGACCCAGAAAGAACCACAGCAGGAAAAGAATGAGGAGGAGCTGACTGAACCAAAGCCAAAGCTACCAACACCCCCAAGTCCGGGTCCCTATAAGCAAAGTGGGGCAGCCTCAGGGCATCTGGATAGCAATCAACCTAGCATGTTGCAGCAACCAAAACTTAGCATGCAATACCCGAGCCACCTGCACCCGGATAATGTCAACAGTGGATCAGGTCAATGGAGAGACAGGCAACAATGCTCGCAGGACTCCGGGTCGAAGGTGTCACCGACCCAATAGGAAGCATGACGGAGGCAAAAATAATGCGCATCGCCCTGAGACAAGGGAGACAGAGCAACCCTCAAACTTGCACAAGGTGAGAGGTGACCCAGGGGGGGTCATATCCACTGGACTTCTTGTGCCCCCGTGGGGTTTCCCAGGGCCCCTAGACTGGTATCGCTAAAGGTAAGCCCAGGTAGGGTACCGCTAACCAGTGCCTAAGTCTACCAAACAAACTTCTAAACTGAACCCCTGGTACAAGTCCACTCATGGGAACCAAGCAGAGGGGTACCACCAAACACAGAAGGTCATGACCGTATTATATCTGGGGGTAGGGGAACAAGAGCCAACCCCCCCACCAGGCAGAAACAAAAATGAAAAGAAAAACCCTGCAAGAGAACAACGTACCCAGGAGGAACACAACCGACCACTGTAATAGGCGAAAACTAGCTGCGCAGTACCCCGTGGCCCTACCAATGCAAAACTACCACTTACCCCAAGGTAAACAAGGGAGGAGGAAATCCCCCAACACTCCTAAGGTGGTCAATCACCAAGCAGCAAGAGACCAACAGAGGTAGACCCCAATGTGACTTATGGAAGATAACCCCAAGCCCCAAGGGCAGTACTTACAGGGCACTCAGGGAAGGGAACCCTAAGCACATGCAGTCCGAGTACAGTACCTGTGAATATTACTCCCAACTTGCATGCCAACATAAGAGTAGTACTGGACACAAGGCACGTCACAACACGAGAGAATCAGGAGCTGGAGCCACACGACCGAGCCACAATCACATCAGCCAAGAACTGACAGGTGGATAGCCGGCATGATGGGTCTGGAACTCTCCTTTTCCTCTCCCAGGAAGTAGGGAGCTGCGCAGACAAATGGCACGGCAAGTGTGACAAAATGCTCCTTTGCTCGTTTTTCATTTGGCGAGTTCTGTTTACTCGTTAGCTTTCAGTAGTAGTTTTAACCAGAACAGGGGTTTATTTTGGGGTGCCTACCTTTCTGGGTGCCCGGCCTGGTTGATCGCAGACCATGAATGCTCCCAACGCATGTACACTTCTATAGGCCATTGCTCCTCATGCCTCTCTGAGGGAGGCCAGGTTCTGGCTCGTGGTCCCCGGTAGGGCTAGAACTCTATTCACACTGACTGATGCCAAAGTCTAATAACATACATATCAGATTGGATAGCTCCGGGGAGCCGAAGGGGCTACCCCTTCCCCCCCAGAAATAGTAGTCATACTTTTTTTTTTTTTCAAACTAAAGTATTATAAGTTTAAAGTCAATACAATAAGGCATTCTTAAGATAATAACACAAACCTGTAAGAAAGAAAAGAAACATGACAAAACCAGTGTATCCCAACAGCAGATGCCTAAAGGTCAAAATAAAAGTTTCCAAAGTTGCCGCCATGGGCAACAAAATGCTAATTCCTTTGGGGATACTGTACTGTTAGTCCCAACGAAGACACAAAATATGAACAAAAATACTGCCTAGAAATGACACTGTTATTTAAATCCTATAAAACCACAAAAAAACATTTTGGAAGTAAATATAAGAGACACGATCCAAAGTATAAATGTATGGTTGTGCCCATTAGATGCTAAGTGAATGATGAAACAAATCCTCTCACATCTCTCGCTGAGTTACAGAAGCAGCACCTACGGGCAAGGAGGAAGTGAGGGAGCTAGGTAACCAAAAACAGTCAACTGCAACACTGATTCAAACTTTGTTAGTGTATAAGGGTTAAAGCCAATCTGTTAAGGCATTCTTGATATTTTTATATTTTTGTAATTACACAGCAGAAAGAAAATAATTATAAAACACAAATAAGGTAAAATCTCAGTACCTGATGGGGATACTTTAATGCAGTGTAAGAAATTAAAGAAATGTGTCACATTAGTACAGAGGTAAACTGTACACATACTTACTTGAGGGAAAGCTTCATAAGGGCTTTGCCAGCACTGTTAAGATCGACAAAGGAGAGAGGAAATATTCCGATGCGAGAGCCGAGCTTACCTTCAGCCCAGTTTTCATCGACCCGTCTTAGCACAGTGAGAATTTCACCCTGCAAGTCCACAATATTATTACTAGTAATATTTAAGTTTAAGTATCTACTGCAGTAATACAATAAAGCATAAATTATGAAAAAAACTGCACAAAAAGCAGTAGCTGTAAATTTTAATTAATTCCATGCAGAATTTAATAAAAGATGTACAGTGACCCCTCGGCTTACGAATGCCCCTCTTTACGAACTTTTTGGGTTACGAGCCCAATGTCTTCGTAAAATCCGAATCGGGTTACGAACTTTGCTTCGGGAAACGAAGTTTGTTGATATGATGACCTAGTGAATGGTGGTACGGAGACCGCGCCTCAGTTTACCAGTGCCTCCCGCCTAGTTACAATCGCGCCTAAATTCTTTGAAAAGAATTTCAGTGCTTTTGTTTTTTTGGGGTATTTAAACATAAAAGTTGTTTTTATATAGCTCGCTATGGGTCCAAAGAAAGCCAGTGGTAAGGTTCAAGCCAAGAAAACATTTGAGAATGACCATAGAGGAAAAGAACATTCGTAAACATGAAAATGGTTCATGGGTTGTTGATAAGTGGCAGCTGAAGAAATTTCTTCAGGGAAGGAGGAGGCAGTTCAGAATGTCCCTTCGTCAATAATTAGGAAGTGGTATAGACTGTGGGAAGAAATGCAAACTTTTGTTGAAACGACTCACCCAGAATGAGCTGTAGTAGGCCGTTGCCTTAATATTTTTAATGACACTGAGATGCCTCACTACAGACAAGTGTTACAATGTAGGGAAAAACAATCCTCTATGGATAGATTTTTAGTGAGGAAATACTTAAGTAGTGAGCCACAAGCTGGTCCTATTAGTATGCAGGCAATACGTGCCAGAGAGAGTTCCCCCAGAGAAGTCATCACTGCCTGATGTTATAATGGAAGGGGACTCCCTTTCCAAACACTAACACCTCTCCTCCTCCTCCCTCCTCACTGTCTTCCATACGCCAACAAGTGTCATCAATAAAGGTAAGCAGTAACTTGTACATACTTTAGTACTAAAGATTTTAGTGAATTTGGTATAAGATTTACTTTGAAGTTAATTTTTTGAGAGTGTGGAATGGATTAATTCAATTTACATTATTTCTTATGGGAAAATTTGCTTCCGTTTATGAATTTTCAGCTCACAAACTGTCTCTGTGAACAGATTAAATTCCTAAGCCGAGGTACCACTGTATAGGCAGTCCTTAATTTGGGCAGGGGTTATATTTCTGCAAAAAGTGACACTAATCAATGTTAAGATTGAATAAATTCATTCAACAGGATCACACTGCTGCTGTGCTGCTACTGCTGCTGCACAAAGCAGCACAGTGCAGAATATACACGTGTTTGTCTTACCTTACTAAATGTGAGGCAATCTCTCTCTTCATCATTAGTCATCTTAAAGTCATAGAGAGCCTTACACTGAGGGATGTGGCTTGGAAGTGGAGTAATAACCTGAAGAATAAATACTATCAGAAAAAAAAAAAATTACATTCTAGTAACTACTTATATAATAACAAATGCAGTACTATAATATTTATTTAATCTCATTCACTTGGGCACTGGGAGACTCGAACTGCCGACCCCCATGGGCATGATGCAGAAGCTCTTCCACTGTACTATGAGACACCTACAATACGAAAGATTTCAAAGGAAACAATTCGGCACCTGAAATTTTATACTTTTTGCCAGCTGCTCCTCAGTACATAAGAATAAGTGATCCATGCCCACGTGATCACCATCGTTGAAATAAACATTTCATTCACTTGGCCATTCGGGGTATGCAGTTCGAGTCTCCTAGTGCCCAAGTGAATGCAATGTTTATTTCCACGATAGTGTGGTTGACATTTTATAATATTTATACCAGTAGACAGACCAACAATGGACAAAAGAACTCAAACATAATTACTCACTAAACAATTGCTATCAATGGCCCCCATACACATTTGCATTCAATAATATACAGTACTATTAACAAATTGGCCCTTACCAACATATATCATAGTTGACAATCACTAGTTTACAGATAGTTATGAAGTGACGAGTAATGCTAATACGTAGTAATAACTGCTGGATCTGTTGAGCACTTAACTGAAGCAAGATTTGTTCATTTCTGTGGGAAACCCCGGAGGCTCCCTGAAGCTATCTTACTGATCAAGTGCCATACTACTTGAGTGTAATCAGTCGCAGCGTTCTTTGTAAGCCTACCAGGGATCATGAGCCAGAACCTGGCCCCCCTCAGAGATGCAAAGGAAGCAATGGCCCATGAACACTTTACATTTAAAGTATGTCATCTTGCCATCAACCAAGGAAGGCACCCAGAAAGGGAGGCGAGTCAAAACAGACTACTGACTGGTTGAAAAGCGCAACCTACGTCATCACAAGTGTAAAAGACCCCCCCCCCAGAAAGCAAAATCCCTGCATTGAATGTAATGAAATGCCATTTTCTGGATGAGTCCCAGAGGCTCCCCGGAGCTATCCAGGTTGATATGTGTATTATTAGACTCTGGCATCAGTCAGTAAGAATGGAGTTCTAGGCCTACCGGGGACCACGAGCCAGAACCTGGCCCCCCTCAGAGAGGCACGAGGAGATGGCCTATAGAAATGTACATGAGTGTGGAGCATTCTATGTCTGCCATCGACCGAGCCAGGCACCCAGAAAGGTAGGCGCCCCAAAACAAACCCCTAATCTGGTTAAAACTATGTTATGATCCCAGGTAGCTGAAAAATGAGTCTCCCCTTTGAGAATTATTCTATCAGGCTAGGCTACCTGACTAGGAGGTCAAATAAATATAGACATGAAGATACATACATAAAATAATTGGTTACATTTGATAAATAGTTTAAGAGCATAGGCAGTGATCAAGAATATAAGTAAATGACTTGACATGAGATGTGGAGAGTTTGCTAGAAGTGTGAGGCTCGCTTCTGGAAGCCTTTGACTCCCACTTGAGCACCAGACATTGTGAGGGAAAGCCGCGCTCCGTGTGAGCTCCTGTTAGAGAGGAAGCCCTAGTTGATATACCTTCAAGAGGATGGAAGTGTGCAGACGTTTCAGCTGTGGAATCAAGCTAGCAATGTGTGGTCTCAAGTCCTGGATGGCAGGAAGAGTTGTGAAGCCGCCCAGAAACATTTTCGGGGGCAGCAGTGTGTGCGCCCTGGTCGGGCGTCATCGAGGAGCGCCCCGTAGGAGACCTTATTGTGATTTGTTTGGGGAAGGAGTTTCTGAGAACTTCGAAGCCAGCAAAGAGGGAGTAGTTGATGAGACTCCAAGATCGTGGAAGGTACTGAGCTCTGTGGAAGAGCAGCCATACAGTGAAGAGCAGGACCTCAAGCTGTGAGAAGAGGAGCAGTGGAATGAAGTTTCACATGTTTCTGTGACACCAGTGGTGAAGCACCATTGTTGCTCAAGGAAGACGTCATGGTGTAGCAGCCGGGAGAGCTGTGGAGGACCCTGGTAGACGATTCTAAGAAAACCTGAAGATGTCAGGGTAGTGAACTTCCAGATGTGGAAAGGAAGTTCTTATTGCCTACTTGTAGGGAGTTGGTAGTGTGTTTGGTTGTCATTAACGTGCAAGATGCAGTGAAATGTGGGTGGTTGATTACCATTTTTGTGCCAAGGAGTACTTATACTGAAGTATAGAGTTACAACCGTAGGCTGGATTACCTACAGAGACATACATGTGTGTTCTAGGACTGATAGGGTGATTGATTGATCATTGTGTATCAAGGAATATTTATACTGATATTTATGTTATTGCAGTTATAGGCTGGTTTTCCTTGTATGTATTTACATACATATATTTTCGTGCTGATAGTGCAATATTGCCGTATAAGACTTGACCTACTTGGTGAGGTTGGTGGTATAAGTGATGTGTCAGGAGTTAGGTTTCCACTTGATAAGCAGTTGACAGAGTGCTGATGGTATTGGAGTGCAACCTGACCACAACAGTATAGAGTGTTGGAGTCATATTATTATATGTGTGTATGTATTGTGCATGTGCCTTGTCCAGTAAATGTATTCAAATTTGCCGGTGTTTGCCCTTGTCCTAGTGAGGCTTCCCAGTAAGTAGAAAAGAGAGAGAGAGAGAAAGAACCACAGCTGTGGGATGGGTAGAACAGAATAATAACAGAAAGGGGATTGAGGAGGTCATACCAAATAAAGAGAGAGTGGGGAGTCACGGCAGCTCGAGTGGGTGTGTGCACATGACGAGGCTAGTGTTGGAGCCGCATCCCCTAAACGTGTGACACTGAGCCTCTCTCCAAGTGCCAGAAGCGTACGGGGTGATCTCCTGATCAAAGTATAAGCACTACCGAAATTTTGGGTTGGTTGTACGTAAGGAAGGACGGATAACCGACAACATCAACATCATCATAATACCTACTACTGAAAACTAACAAGTAAACAGAACTATGCAATTGAAAAACGAGCAAATGAGCATGTCGTCACACTTGTCGCGCCACTTGTCTGCGTAGCTCCACCCTTTCCAGGAGGAAAAGAGGGGAGTCCCAAACCCATCGCACCAGCTATCCACCTGTCGGTTTGTGGCTGGATGTCAAAATACGCGAAAAGAAGCAGACCGCGGGGAGGGAGGGTTGCCAGGAAGCTTCCGGGTCTCACCCAGAAAATAGCGTTTCATTACATTCAACGCTGGTTTTCTGGGGGGAGCCCCTTTGGCTCCCTGGAGCTACCTACCTAAAGCCAAGGACAAAAGAGGGCCAACCTTGGGACGTGGAACCCACGTGCCTAAAACCCGAAAGCAAGACACCAGGCAACACCAAAAGGACCCCGCGGAAGACCCAAGAGACCTGAACCCCAGAACAGGGACGAAGGGAACTCCGGGCAACCCAAAGGGCCACAAAGGCCGCGGCACACAAGCAATGGCCGAAAGCCACAACCGGACACAAGCAGATGCACCCTGGCCAAACCAATCAAGCAACAACAACCCCAGGGACCCATCCGGAAAAAAGCCGACCCAACCTCGCCGGAAAAAGAAGAATGGTGGCAACAAACAAGCCTAACACCAGAACCCAAAGGAGCAGAAACCCCTGAGAAACAATCTTGAACCGAAGAGGCCACAACCAACTGAGGGGAAGAGAGAAGAGAGCATTGTGTCCAAAGACCAGGACAGCTCAGGTGGCGCATGAGCAGGCCAGAGGCGAAAAAACACCCATGACAGCTTGCGAAACTGTGCAGAAGAAACATCAAAACTGAAAGCAAGCCAAAGCAGCTCTGCCAGCACCGCATGATACGAGGTGACAGAATGCGGCATATGAAGACGGTCTTGAAACACCAACTAGAGAAAGGACAAGACCACCTCAACAAAAAGCGAAGTACACCTACAAAGAGCCAAAAAAAAAAAAAAAAAGGAAGGACCGCCAGTAAACAGCATGCCGCCGCCGAGAAGAAGCCAGTAGGTGGGACACCATCAAAGAAGCCACCTGATCACCATACGAGTGATAGACACAAGTCAAAAAGATCAGACTCGAGGAGAAGATCGAACCAGTCTCGTAATGGACCAGACCTATTTGCTGAAAGAGGCGGAGCTGCAGGAAAAACTCTGGGTTCAGTAACCGGGCAAGCAGCGCCTGAAACCAAGGCTGGGCTGGCCACCATGGGGTTAAGATGACAACTCTTCCATGGTAAGTCTCCAAGCGAGCTAGGACCTGGAGCCACAGTTGAACCGTGGGGAAGAGGTACAGGAACCCCCACCTCGACCAGTCCCGCCGGAAGGCATCGATCCCAACGGCCTCACAGTTGCGGAAGGGCGGCACATACTTGTTATGTGCCGCCTTACTTTCCATACATTTATACTGTATACCAGAATGTATACAGTATAAAAGGTATATAGGTATACCTATATACCGGAGGTATACAGAAGTATACCTTCTGGTATACTTTTGTATACCGGAAGACACCTCAACCATGCCGACATGAAGAGGTCCACCACTGGACGTCTGGCAGGTCCAGCTGAATGAGTAGGCGTCGACCGTCCATTCCATGGACAGGGGAATAAACTGGGACAGGTCGTTCACCAGGACGTTGGAAACCCCCCCCCCCCCTTCCCCGGACGTGAATGGCCAGGAGAGCCAAACCCTGAGAACTCAGCAGACGAGTCACCCAAAGAGACAAGCTCCTGTAACAGTGTAAGTGTTTTGCACTCTTTCATGTTGATTGTAAGTGTAATTTGGAATTGTATGGGTGTGTGTGTAATTACCTAAGTGTAATTACCTAAGTGTAGTTACAGGATGAGAGCTATGCTCGTGGTGTCCCGTCTTCCCAGCCCTCTTTGTCATATAACGCTTTGAAACTACTGACGGTCTTGGCCTCCACCACCTTCTCACCTAACTTGTTCCAACCGTCTACCACTCTGTTTGCGAAAGTGAATTTTCTTATATTTCTTCGGCATCTGTGTTTAGCTAGTTTAAATCTATGACCTCTTGTTCTTAAAGTT